TCCTTGTAGGGAAATAACTATGTATTTTGCTGCCAGAGATAACATTCATGCTTTCAAGAGAAGATAGAATTTGAGAAGATTTATGTCCACCCCTGTTAACTTGACAGTTTCTAATTACTTGATAACTTTGCTGTGAAGATGGCTAATGACAGAAATGGCTGTGATTTTTCTGATGTTTTCTGAAATGACATTTCAGAAAAGCTGCTTGATCAATGGTGACAGAATAAGAAGTATCTTGGTCTTCTAGCCTAGCCAGACCTCCTGAGCAGTAAGGAGGATTGGATTTTTTTTTCTTTTTTGGTCCATTGTGTGGCTTAAACTCATGGCCTGGGTGCTGTCCCTGAGCTTTTTTGCCCAAGGCTAGCACTCTATCACTTTGAGCCATAGAGCCACTTCTGTTGTTGTTGTTGTGGTGGTGGTGGTGGTGAATTGGAGCTAAGAGTCTCATGGGGTCTTTTCAGCCTGTGTTGGCTTTGAACCTTGAACCTCAGATCTCAGCCTCCTGGGTAGCTAGGTTGACAGGCTTTAGCCATCAGCCCTGCTAGGATTGGATCTTTTGTTAAGATACATTTGCGTTTGTTTTCTGTCCTTGAAGAAATGTAGTTCATCATTTGCAACAAGTCACTTTCCAAAGGTGGGAGCTAAAGTAGCAAAACTCACATCTTTAGAAAGTCCAATTTAATTCCTAATGGCTGATGAGAATCAATTATCCCTAGGTAATAAAGTTTTTTAAGTTAAAAAAATAAATAAAAAACTAAAAGAAGCAGGGCACTGCTAGATCACAGTTGTAATCCTAGCTAAACAGGAGGCTGACACCTGAGAATCTCAGCCCACCAAGGCAGACAAATCTGAGGGACTCATTTCAAATTATCCAGAATAAAGCTTGAAGGTAAGATAGTGGTTCAAGTGGTAGAGTGCAGCCTTGATTAAAAAGCAGAGTAAGAGGCCCTAAATTCAAGCCCTAGTAACAGGAAAAAAGACCAGAGTTCAGATTAGCACACCCTAAAAAGTCCCAGAATCTCCTTGTACCCCTTGCCACAAGAATCACCTTATTCTTTGTAGCATTTCCATTTAGCTATTTCTGAGTTGTATCTTTTCATCTTAAATGTACAAATAGAAGTAGAATGTTTCCCTGAGTTCTATGGGCCATTCCAGTGAATTCTGGAAACTGAGGAGGGGGAGTCCTAGGAGCTCTCAATTTATAATAGGTCCATCATTTACTGAAGAAGTCTGAGCTTGAGACTAACATCTGAACTGGGGGCAAGATTTGGGATCAAGCTGGAACCCTGTGGGCTCTGCTGACTGTAGGCAGATAGTATCACGAATAAGTTGGATTGAATTGTAGGACATGCTGGTGGGGTCTGTGTAGAATTGGAGAATGGCTTTGTATAGGAGGTAGAAGTGGAGTGGGGGCGGGGGCACATTTAGTCTCAGAAGTAATGCATGAGTAGACCAGAAAACATCCTTGGGTTTTTTTCTTCCTCCCTTAGCTGCAAAACTCAAAGCTCCAAAGCCAACAATGTGTCTCACACCTGTCATCAGAGCTACTCAAAAGGCTAAGATCTGAGGATTCCAGTTCAAAGCTAGCCTGGGCAGAAAAGTTCCTGAAACTTCTGTTGCCAGTTAACTCACAATAAAGCCAGCCCAAGCAGAAACATCCTCCATAAGACTCTATCTCTAACCAAACAACAATAATAACTTCAACAAAAAAGCCAAACTGGAGGCTTGGTTCAACTGGTAGTACACCAAGTGTGAGCAAAAAAGCTGAATGAGAGTTACAGGCCCTGAGTTCAAATTCTAGTACACATAAACATATGTATAAATTTGAAAAATGAACAAAATGAACCTTTAAAAAATTATTGTTGGAGCTGGAAGCTGTTGGCTTCCGCCTATAATCCTAGCTACACTGGAGGCTGAGATCTGAGGATTGTGGTTCAAAGCCAGCCTGAGCAGGAAAGGCTGTGAGACTTTTATCTCCAATTAACTACCAGAAAACTGGAAGTGGCACTGTGCTCAAGCGGTAGAGCACTTGCCTTGAGCTGAGGGACAGTGCCCAGGCCCAGAGTTCAAGCCCTACGACTGACAAAAAATAAAAATAAATATAAAGATATATATGGGAATATGGTTTTTAGTGGTAGAGTTCTTCCCCAGCGTTCATTAAGCCCTGGGTTTAATTCCTTAGTACAACAGAAACACAAAAGCTGGAAGTGGTTTTGTGACTAAAGTGGTAGAGCACTAGCCGTGAGCACAAGAGGCTCAGGCCATCAGTTCAAGCCCCAGAACCTGCAAAAAAATAAAATTAAAAAAAAAAAAATATATATATATAGTTGTTATAGAGATGATATACAAAGGGGTTGTATTTACGTACATCAGATGAAAGTACATTTTGTTTTATACAGTGTCATCTGTTCCCTCATTCTCTCCCACATCCTCCCTCCCATCTCCACCCACGAGCTGCAGAGTTCCCTTTCATCAATGTCCAGTGCACTCCACGGCTGCACTTTCTCACCCTTTTTCCTCAGATTCTGTGCTCTCCTCTCACCCTCTCACAGATGTGCATGTGAATACACTGTAAAGAATAATAATAAGGTAAAGAATACAGAATCATCAGAGAAAGAAAAAAACAAATTAAGGAAAAAGCCTTTTGCTTCCATATCTTTGGAGTTAGTTTTAGTATGTATCTTATATATACATATCTTTATATACACATGAAGAAGTGCTTCGGTATTGCACCTGCAATACCCAAGTACTCTACCATTTGAGCTACAGTGTACTTCTAGCTTTTTCTGTTTATGTGGTACTGAGGAATGGAACCCAAGGCTTCATGCATACTAGGAAAGCATTCTACCACAAAGCCACATTCCCAGCCACCTTTTTCAACCCTTTGGTTTCTTTTTCTTTTTTTTTTTTGGTGGGCCGTGGGGCTTAAACTCTGGGCCTGGGCACTGTCCCTCAGCTCTTCAGCTCAAGGCGAGCGCTCTACCACTTGAGCTACAGCGCCACTTCCGGTTTTCTGGTGGTTTATTGGAGATAGGAATCTCACAGTCTCTCCTGCCCCGGCTGGCTTTGAACCGCGATCCTCAGATCTCAGCCTCCTGAGTAGCTAGGATTACAGGCGTGAGCCACCAGCGCCCTGCACCCTTTGGTTTCTTTCAGGAATTTTTCTTTATCTTTGATGCACCTTGATATGGTGTGTGTGTGTGTGTGTGTGTGTGTATGTGTGTGTGTGTGCGTGTGTGTTTGTATTTATCTCCTTTGTATTCTGATTTTTTTTTTCAAGCACTAGTGCTTGAACACAGGGCATGGCACCTGTCAGGTAGGTGTTTTGCCACTTAAGCTACACCTCCAGACCTTCTTGTGTTAGTTTTTCAAATAGGAGATTACATTACTGCCTGGCCCAGCCTGGACAGGCATCACTGAGCAGCTGGGATGACAGGCTTTTTTACTACACCCAGCTTTTTTATTAATTAAAGTGTAATCTCATTAAGTTTGTGCCCAGGCTGATCTCAAACTGTGATCCTTCTCATTTCTACTTCCCACGTTGTTGGGATTACAAGGATAAACTACTTATAACCAGCTCTGAGCTTCTTAGTCTGTGATTTCATGATAGATGTTGCTCTAGAGGAAATTCTCAGCTGTAACAGCTTCCAATATTGCTTCTGTACCTGTCTTCTCCAGGTATTCTCCCATTAGTTCACAGATGTTCTTTTCCCCTCTGTTTTTGCTTTCAGTTTCCTCCTTTCCTTACCTTATTACTTTCTAGTTTCAGAGATTTCAATTGTAAATAAAGAAATAATAAATGAAGTTAAAATAAGACAGTTTAAAAAAAAAATTCCGTGTGTCTGTGTATCTGTGTGTCTGCGTGTGTCTGTGTGTCTGTGTCTGTGTGTCTGTGTCTGTGTGTCTGTGTCTGTGTGTCTGTGTCTGTGTGTCTGTGTGTCTGTGTGTCTGTGTCTGTGTGTCTGTGTGTCTGTGTGTCTGTGTCTGTGTCTGTGTGTCTGTGTGTCTGTGTCTGTGTCTGTGTGTCTGTGTGTCTGTGTCTGTGTGTCTGTGTGTCTGTGTGTCTGTGTGTCTGTGTCTGTGTCTGTGTCTGTGTGTCTGTCTGTGTTTCTGTGTGTTCTGGGGCTTGAACTCAGGGCCTGGGTGCTGTTTCTGAGCTTTCTCACTCAAGGCTAGTGGTCTACCATGTTGAGCCACAGCTCCACTTCTGGTTTTCTGGTGGTTAATGGGGGATAAGTTTCATGGACTTTTCCTGCCCATACTGGCATCAAACTGAGATCCTCAGATCTCAACCTCTTGAGTAGCTAGGATTACAGGCGTGAGCCACCAGTGTCTGGTTCTGCCATTTTTTGGTTGTTAATTACTCACCTCTGAGCCTCCAGTAATTCATCAATGGCAGTATGGACTTTCCTGCCTGGTAGGTTGTTACTTTCATCCCCTGTGCTTTGGGGGTGAGTGGTTTGTCCCCTGGCTTCCCTCCTCTGACAGGTCTAAGGAAAGTAAATTTTTTTTTTTAGTAGTTGGTTTTTTAAATCTTGTTTGCATTAGGTGGCAACTTCCCAGATCCTTATTTGTTAGATTGGAACCCAGAAATCATATCTCCTTGGTTTGGGAGTGTGTGTGTGTGTGTGTGTGTGTGTGTGTGTGTGTGTGTGTTGCTTTTTGGGTTGAGGATGGAACCTGGCACCTACATGAACTCTACCATTAAGCTATATTCCCAGTTCTCGATCTGCCTGGTTTTAGATACTTGATCTCTTATACTTACCTAGATGCTGTATTCCATCCCTACTTTTCTCCTGTTTTCTTTATTTGTTCCTTTTTCTTTTTGGCAGTACTGGGATTTGAACTCAGGGTCTTGTGCTTCCTAGGTAGGTGCTCTATGAGCCATGACTTATTTCTTTTTTGCTTTAGTTATTTTTCGTAGATAGGGTCTTGTGCTTTTGCCAAGTTATGCTCCTCCCTATGCCTTCTACATAGGTGAGATCTTAGGCCATTCCACTGTTAGAAAAATGGAGGACAAAGGAAAAGGAATAGACCAGACTTGATTTTCAACAGGCTAGAGCTGTTTATTGCCAGCAAGGGGATGGGTATGGAGGTTGTGCGAGGGACTGGATTTGGGGCCAGGTGTATATGGATCTTAACAAGGAAGAAGAAAATTTTTAAAAAGGCTAAGGTCTCTTGGGGGCCAAGGGCGGTGTCCTTGGCCAGGCCCAAAGTGGAATGCTCTCTGCCTGGGATGAAGTGGCTTTCACCTAAGTCAAGGTCTGAGTGACTTGCCTGTGGACAAGCATGTGAACATGCACTTGGTGCTGTGCTTGACCTGGGGGAATGAAGGAAAAAAATCTATATTCCATCTTTAGATACATAAAAAAGATTGGGCTCAGAGGGGAGAGGTAAATTATTCAGTGAGAACAAAACAGATTCTCATCATTTGAAAACCTGAAGGGGTATAAAAGGTTGAGAGATGTTGTGGTCTTTTCTGGCTACTTCCTGCTGACAGGGGGGCATCGAGGACTCACTGGGGCTGAGGTGTTAAGGGTCCAAGTCTATGCTGGGCAGGGCAGAGCAGTATAAGTAAAGCTTCCAGTTGCCTGCAGCAATAGGATGTCCTGAGTAAGAACTGTTATCCTGTTAAAAAGAAACTTGAAGAAGGTGACATCAGGCAAAAGACTGACAAGGTGGCAGGTCAGTTGATATGAATGGCAGAGGAAAATACACCCTGGGCACAAGCCAAAAAAGTTCCATTTGGAGCATAAGCCCAGTTGTAGCCCATTACAGAGAAGGTAGAATTTCCATGTAACTGGACTGGGAGGCAGGAAGGGAGTGTAGTGTTTCTGGTGATTGAGTAAGGGAGAGCATAGTGGAATAATAAAGAATAAGCAGTCAGAAGCTGGGACTGGATTGGAATGATGAAAGGCCTGGTGAGGCCTTGATCATTTTCTGTATCTGGACTATAGAGTATGGATGGGAGACCCAGTAATGTGCCAAGGCAAACTATCCTGAGTCCAAGATTCACAATAAATAGAAATAGCAGGTAACAAAGGCAAGAATATAAGTTCCTGTCCAGTTAGAAGGTAGTCAGGTATAAACATTAGATAGGCATGCTTAACTATTTTCTTTTGATCTGCCAGCTCTGGTTAATTTTGAAAGGTGAGCACAAAGTGACTCCATCCTTCTTACTCCAAGACTAGCCTTGTCCTGGGGGTCTAGGTGCTCATTGCTAGAATGGCTTGTCCCAGTTGCCATCTCTTTTGTCAGTCACAGGGACTGAGCTCAAAGCCTGGTCACCATCCAGGAGCACTTCTGCTCAAGGCTAGTACTCTCCAACTTTGAGCCACAGCACCACTTCTGCTGGTTTTTTAGAGATGAGCATCTCACAGGGATTTTTCTGCCCAGGCTGGCTTTGAAGTGTGATCCCCAGATAACCCCTTACTCCCAATTGAAGCAACAAGGAGATCAAATAGAAATATAGTTATTCTTAATTGCATTTAACACTTTAGGATACTAATTGAAGTTAAGACATTGTAGGTGTCACTAAGCCTTTGTGATTACAATGAGGAATGCAGGAGTTAATGTCCTTTTATATCTCCATATCCAAGGCAGCTTACATATTAAGCAAGGAAAATGGCATTCAAGTTAAAAGGTGTTCATTTGAAGGACATTGACATAAACAAACACTAAAGGGAACTTTGGTTTGCACAAACAGTTACTTATAAAGAATGAGATGCTGATTTTACATGTGTATTAATTTTGACCTTATTTAAACCACAGCCAGCTTAATTACACAACAACAAACTATACCATCTGCTACAAACTTGAACCTTCTGGGATTTGTCTTCCTCTCTTTTTGGAACAACCATTTAAGACAATTCTTACTTTCCAAGTCCTTTCTTATCCAGAGAAAACTATTTTTTATTTCCTAAATTCTTTTCTCAAGGATTTCTTTACTAACGTTCCTCTTTCTTTATATTTCTCATTATTGATTATCTTCATCACAGCTGGTTAGGAGCAGATCTTTGTCTCATTCCTTTTACTACTTCTGTTGATGAAGATTTCTCCTTTTAACAAGCAGCACAACTGACAATTAACTCTGTTAACAGAAGATTTCCAATTTCAGTCAAGAAACAAATAATTTCAGGAGATATCAGTACCAAAACTTGAAAAGATTACTTTTTATACCATGATGAGCATTTATGTATTACAACATGATTACTTTGTTTTTTGTTTTTTTTTTGTCGGTCGTGGGGCTTGAACTCTGGGCCTGGGCGCTGTCCCTCAGCTCTTCAGCTCAAGGCGAGCGCTCTACCACTTGAGCTACAGCGCCACTTCCGGTTTTCTGGTGGTTTATTGGAGATAGGAGTCTCACGGTCTTTCTTGCCCGGGCTGGGTTTGAACCGTGATCCTCAGATCTCAGCCTCCTGAGTAGCTAGGATTACAGGCGTGAGCCACCAGCGCCCGGCTAACATGACTACTTTGAACATGCTCTCACACATACACTTCTGCCCAAAGGTTTTAAAGTGCACTTCAGTTTTTATTTTGGGTCCGGTCGTGGGGCCTGAACTTGGGGCCTGGGCGCTGTCCCTCAGCTCTTCAGCTCAAGGCTAGTGCACTACCACTTGAGCCACAGTGCCACTTGTTTTTTTTTTTTTTTTTTTGTCGGTCGTGGGGCTTGAACTCTGGGCCTGGGCGCTGTCCCTCTGCTCTTCAGCTCAAAGCGAGCGCTCTACCACTTGAGCTACAGCGCCACTTCCGGTTTTCTGGTGGTTTATTGGAGATAGGAGTCTCACGGTCTCTCCTGCCCGGGCTGGCTTTGAACCACGATCCTCAGATCTCAGCCTCCTGAGTAGCTAGGATTACAGGCGTGAGCCACCAGCGCCCGGCCCACAGTGCCACTTGTAAGGTTCACTCCTGGATGGCTAGCAGACTCCACCCTCCTCGCAGCAAAGTCTCCACCCAGTACCTGCCTTACCTAGGCAACTAGGACACCTGGAAGAGGTCACATCTGAATTTGATGTGGCCACACCTTTCCCCGCCCATACGCTAGATAAGGGCTAGCTCAGGCCCAGACTCTCTTTCTCTCTCTGTTCGTTTCTAGCTCTCTGCTCTCTCTGTTCTATTCTAGCTCTCTCTGCTCTTTTCTAGCTCTTTTCTCTCTCTTTACCAGCTCTCTCTCTTTCCCTACCACGTGGGGTGCCAACCTTGCCTGGTCCCAGCAGGTCTACTGAATAAACCTACCCCTTACCTGAATACCATGTGCGTGCTGGTGCTGTTCTTACTCAGCTACCTCTTTTTAAAAACCTAACACCACTTACGGCTTTTTTCTTTTTGCTTATGTGGTGCTGAGGAATCGAACCCAGGGCCTCAGGCATGCAAGGCAAGCGCTCTACCACTGAGCCACCTTCCCAGCCCTGTTTTTGTTTTTTAAAAGAAAATTGCCCATAAGTTTAGAACCACATGGTCAATGATAGAAAAACAGGCTAAACCAAACAAAATGACCAGAACAGAAAAACCTTCAAGGCAATTTTGGTATTACTTGGTGGGAGAGTGGAGGTCACATGAAAATCCACTGTGAAAGCCTCAGTCCAGAAAAACCACATGGACATCAAGTCACATCCAACAAAGGAGTTTATTGTCAGTAGGGGCTGACAGGCTAGATCTCATGGGATAGAGAGTAGCAGCCTGTCATTGTGTAAGGGGGTCTAGAAGCAGGAAAGTTTCACTGGGGGCAGGAGTAATCTATATTCTGGTTCATGTGAGTTGTGGAATACAGGAGACCTGAGCATTGTGATGGGTCTATTATTATGATTGCAGCTGCAGGCTAGAGATAACATGTGGCTCTGGGAAGTGAAGTGGGAGGAACAACAGGACAGGACAGCTAGTTGTGTTTAGGCCTGGTTAGATCAATTGGTTTTGGGGGAGGGACTGAATACATTGAGATGGAACACCCACCACGTGGCCTTGGTCTCTTCCTAGGTGGGTGTCAACCTCCAGGGTCTTTAGAAAACTGGGGTAGGGAGGGGTTCCTCCTGGGGGCATTTATCAGTCTCTAAGAGGAGTTCATTTTTAAGGGAGGAATTAGGAAACCACATTTTGAAGTGAGTAGACTCAGAAAAGAGAAAAGGAATAGATTAGTATGAGTCCTGAAGACAAGTTGTTTATTTTTGGGGGGTGGGGAATAATACTGTTTTAACTGCTCCCATTATGAGAGTTTTGGGTGGGAAAAGGAGAGAAGTAAGAGAGAAAAGCTAGCCCCAGTGTGTTTTTTTGGCCAGCCACTGAAAGTGTTGAAGTTTAAGCAAGGCTGTTAGATTGTCACTGTGACTGCATTTACAAGACAAAGAAAGTTGCTCTACCTTTGGAGGCTTGCACCCACCCTACACCTGTGTATCAGCACTCAGGTATGACAAACTGGCACAGAGGGAGTTTGCTTAGAGAGGACAGTTTACTGACTGCAGAGGGAAAGAATGTAGCTACTAGAGCAAAGTGGAAAAAGGCTTAGACAAAAGGGGAGAGAGAGACAGATTGACCTGCTACAAGACAAGGAAAGTTAGAGCAGATGACTGGGAGTTTTATGGCAGAGAAGAACTTGGTGAGCAGGGCAGGACCAGTAGAGGGGAGGGGTGTCTCTGGAGTAGAGATGGAAGAGGGCATGGGTGAGGGGGACCATGGACTCCTCTCCGTTTCATTGGAGAATTATTTAAACCAGTAAGAGTAAAATAGAAGGTTCTGAATTCAGGCCAATGGTAGCCATTGTTTAGTGAAGCCAGATTTTGGTAGGCAAACAAGCCAGTTTTCTTCGACTGTAAACCAGTCAGCCAGAGAGCCTTAAGATTAGACCATGGGCAAGGGAATGGGGTGTCTATGGGAGACAATTTGGAAATTTGGTAGTACTACGGGACGTGTCCCACTGCTTCAGGCATCCCCAAGACTTTGGGAAGGCAAACAAATGCATCTCAGTAATTAGAGAAGGGCCTTCCCAAAGGTCCTAATTAAAGAGTATCAGGGGGTCAGCAAAGAGGAGACTCCTAGGGGCTGGGACTGTGGCTTAGTGGTAGAGTGCATGAAGCCCGGGGTTAGATTCCTCAGTACAGAAAAAGTGGGAAGTGGCGCTGTGGCTCAAGTGGTAGAGTGCTAGCAAAAGAAGCTCATGGACAGTGCCCAGGACCCAAGTTCTAGCCATAGGACTGGCAGGAAAAAAAAAAAAAAGAGACTCCTGAAGTCTCTGGGGACCCAGCAGACAGGAAAGGAAGGACTCTGGGAGTCCCTAGGTCTGGGTTGGGGCACCTCCACCATGGACCTCAGCTGGTCACCTTGTCCTGAAGGCTTTTGGATGGGTGGAGTTGGTTATCAAATGTCAAAGAGTCTCCAACTGTGAATTCAAGAGTCTTGGGACAGGGTGGGGGAGAGAGAATACGCAAAAAGATAAAGCTTCCCTGTGTTTATACCAGGGGGCCAATACTACTTCAGGCCACGTGAAGTGGCCATCCAGGAGTCATGCATTGCTTATGTAGGCCTGAGGCCACAAGGTCATTTCAGGCAGCTGTTTATCCCAAAGTAAGCTGAGGACTCAGTGCTCCTGGTGGAGAAAGGCCTCAGAAAGAGAGGAGGGCAACAGGAAGGCTCGCTGCCAGGAGTCAGGCGGCCCCTCAGCAAAGGGGACCCAGTTACTCTGGTGCTTTTCCTCTCCTGGGTTTCAGCACCAATGCTAGGAAAATGGAGGGGAACAGAAATGGGACTTGATTCTCAATAGGCTAGGACTGTTTATTACTAGCGAGGGGCACAGGCCTTCCTGTGGGTCTGGAGGTTGTGCTAGGAACTGGATTTTCCGCTGGGTTTATATAGGTCTTAACAAGGAAGCAGGAAATGAAAAAATAGGCTATGGTCTCTTGGGGGCCAAGGGTGGTGTCCTTGGCCAGGCCAAGAGTAGAATGATGTTCCTGGGATGAGGAAGGTTTCAGCTAAACCAAGGTCAGAGTGACCTGCCTGTGGACAAGTATGTGAGCGTGTACCTGATGTTGTGCTTGACCTGGAGAAATAAGGGGAGTCAATCCTTCATCTACCATGCCTAACTTTATTGATTAAAATGGGGTCTTGCTAACTTTTTGCTTGGACTAGTCTTAGGCATAATCCTCCCAATCTCTGCCTTCTCCCTTCCCCTCACTCCAGGTAGAGAATTAGATCACTATGCATCCAAAAGGTAGGATGAGCCAGGTGCTGGTGGTTCACACCTGTAATCCTGGCTACTCAGGAGGCTGAGATCTGAGGACTGAGGTTCAAAGCCAGCCCAGGCAGGAAAGTCCATGAGACTCTTATCTCCAATTAACCACTAGAAAACCAGAAGTGGAGCTATGGCTCCAAGTGGTAGAGTGCTAGCCTTGAGCAAAAGAGCTCAGGGACAGCACCCAGGTATGGAGTCAAGTCCCAAGACCAAAAAACAAAACAAAACAACAACAACAACAAAAAAACAAGGTAGAATGAGTATCAGGAAGAGGTGTGTCTTCACTCTCAATCTCACATTTATAACCCCAAGGTTACCCTCTGCTCTAGAGTTGTTTTGAGACCAGAAAATGCTGTTTGACTATAGAACAAATATTTCTTACTATAATCTGCAGCTGGAGCTAATAAAAAAGGAACTAGATTTCCTACTGACAGTCCTCCAAAGCAGAGGTGGATGCAATTCTTATTTATGGGGAACACGTCAAGGGATGAATAAATTGGGACATCCTTGCTGCTACTGCTCTGTGGCCTCCAATATTAACATCACTGGCAAGCTTGCTTAATTGTGTGTGTGTGTATGGGCTGTGAGTGTGGCTTAGTGGTAGAGTGGTGGAGTTCTTCCCTAGTATGCATGAAGCACTGAGTTTGATTCCTTAGTACCATATAAACAGAAAAGGCCTGGAAGTAGCACTGTGGCTCAAGTGGTAGATGTTAGGTTTTTAAAAAGAGGTAGCTGAGTAAGAACCACACCACGTACGTGGTATTCAGGTAAGGGGTAGGTTTAGTCATCGTTCTGGCTGGCACCAAGCCATCTTGGCCCTCCACGTGGCTGGGAAAGTCCTGGAAAAGAGCTGGGAAAAGAGGGCATCTGGGCCTGGGCTAGGTCTTATCTAGGGTATGAGTGGAGAAAGGTGTGGCCACATCAAATTCCAAGGTGACCTAAGCGGATGCAGATGTGACCTTTTCCAGGTGTGCCAGTTGCCTAGGTAACGTAGGTACTGGGTGGAGACATTGCTGCAGGAGAATGGAGTCTGCCCGTCATCCAGGAGCGGACATTACGGTAGAGTGCTAGCTTTGAGCAAAAGAAGCTCAGGCACAGTGCCCAGGCCCTGATTTCAAGCCCAAAGGATCACACACACACACACACACACACACACACATTATATATACACACACATATATAATATATGTATATGTATGTGAGTGTATGTGTACATATATATTTGTTTCTAATAATAACGAAACCTCAGATTTAAATCAGCCTGAGCTTCAGCAAGCCAAAAGTGAAGCTTCCTATGCCCATCCTTATTTATACCAATAACTCATTGTCTTTCCAAACAGAGAATTCTCACAGGGCTATGAAAGCCAAGTCAGCAGTAAATTACTTGCTTGGTTTGTTGTTTTATTTTTTTATTTTTTTTTGGGGGGGGGGGTCCGGTCGTGGGGCCTGAACTCTGGGCTTGAGTGCTGTCCCTCAGCTCTTCAGCTCAAGGCTAGCCCTCTACCACTTGAGCCATAGCTCCACTTCTGGCTTTTTTCTTTTTGCTTATGTGGTGCTGAGGAATCGAACCCAGGGCCTCAGGCATGCAAGGCAAGCGCTCTACCACTGAGCCATCTTCCCAGCCCCTGGTTTGTTGTTTTAATCTAAGAAGGTGGATTAAGTGGGTGTCAAGAAGACCCTGATTCTGCATTGCTATGGGGCTGAGATTACAAGAGATTTGAGTGCACAATCAGTTGCTAAGGGAATTCTATAAGCTTTTTCACCCTCTTTCCATCAAGGGCTGTCTTGTTAGAGAGTTTAGGTGTAGAGGAAATGAATTGGTGGTCTCAGAGACCAAGAGAGAGAAGAAAAAAAAAATCAGCTTTATGGAAAGCTTTAGAATAAGTAGAAAAAAAAATGCTTACTGCTTGTCCCTACATGACTTCATAAATGACAGTCAGCAAAATTGGATAACACAGTCACTTGTGGCTGTCATTTCTCTGCAGCTTGGTGGCCTGATATATAGATAACTAGTAGCTCTGAACCACAGTGAGTGGTTGGATATTCTAGAAGGTACCAGAACCTTCCAGACTTGTAGCCAAAGTGGAAGGGGGAGGTCATGAAAGGTGACTCAGAGGAACATTCTGAAATGATGGGTAAGTTTGTATCTTGTTTGGGTTTTAGTGACATGGATGCAAATATTAGTCAAAATTCACCCAACTATACTTTCATAATGTGTGCATTCATGTATTTACATTTTTACCTTAAAAGAAATCCTTTGTACTGGCAGGAAGACACCATTGAAGAACAGAGAAAAGCCCTAGAATGTTTCTTTCAAAGGTTTTACATTTACAGAGATGGTTTGGCAATGGCATCTGGGACTCTTGCCTGTGATTTTTCAAGGCAGAGCCCCAAATTTGGCTTGTTTCACGCCTCTGAGAGAGACAGGTTCAAAAAGAGGAAAAGAAAGGCAAAAGAAAAAGCAAGAGAAAGAGTAGACAAAAAGACAGCTCAATACCAGTACAGGTTTATTAGAGGTAAAAACCGGTGTGGGGAAGCCTCCAGCCACAGCTAGAGACTCACTCCTCGCTCACAATCTCAAGCATTTATTGTGGGTTTGAAAGAACTTTAGCATTGTCTAGTGGAGGTGGTTTGAAAGTAACTAATGGTGGAACAAAAGGGACAAATGGTGGAAATAGGTCACAAGTGGAGGCAGGAAGGGAGCCCCAGTATCTGCTCAAGGTCCAAGCTGGGAGTAGATTTTGGACTGGTGCCTGATTTTATCTGGCCTGGGAAAGAGGGCAAGGCAGATGTGTTAGTGAATCAGGGCACTGTTCTGGGGCCCCAAGATATTTCGCCACTTGGACCTAACAAGTGTCAGCCTCAGTCCAGGACATCTAAGTATCTCTGGAGTTTCTTGTCATTCTTGGTATTTAGCCCAGGCTAACCTTGAACTCATGAGCCTCTTGCCTCTGCTTTTTTTTTTTTCCCAGTCCCAGGACTTGAACTCAGGGCTTAGGCACTGTTCCTAAGCTTCTTTTGCTCAAGGCTGACATGCTACCATTTGAGCTATACTTCCATTTGCAGCTTTTTGGTGGTTAATTGGAGAAGAGTCTCATGGACTACCCTGGCTGGCTTTGAACCATGATTAAAGGATTGACTCCTACCTTATTCCCCAGGTCAAGCAAAGCACCAGGTGCACGCTCACCTGCTTGTCCACAGGAAGGTCATTTCAGTGTTAGCACCCAGGAGACAGTAGTCCCTCACCCCAGGTGGAACATTCCACTCTGGGCCTGGCCAAGGACACTGCCCTTGGCCTCCAAGACATCATAACCCATTTTTTTTATTTTCTGCTTCCTTGTTAAGATCTTTACAAGCCCACCCCAAAATCCAGTCCCTCATAATAACCTCCAAATCTGTGGGAAGATCTGTGTCCCTCGCCGGCAATAAACAGTCCTTGCCTGTTGAGGATCAAATCTGGCCTATTCCTTTTCCATTCTTTTCCATTTTCCTAACAATGAGGATCCTCAGATCTCAACCTCCTGAGTATCAGCTAGGATTATAGGAATGAGCCCCTGGTGTCCAGTTTGTGATTTGTACTGTACTTCCTTTGTAGCCTCATTCAGAGTTCACAGGTGGGGCTTGTGGGGGGGACTATGCTCCTTCAATTAAAGCCTTGGACTGAATCATAGACTGATGTAGAGGTAAAAGTGCCAAGTCACTGGGACAAAAGAGGGAAGTAGAGGAGCCCATTTAAGCTGGAGGCCTTCCTCAAGAAACCAAGCTTCAATTCTCTCTATGTTCAGCATGAATGTGGGCAAAGATAAATGGAGACAAGGGAGGATATGTTGGGGATTTTCCATGTATTGGAGTTTTCAGAAGGGAGAAACTACACATCTAAAACCCCACAAAGAAAAGAGCAAAAGGCAGGAGTTGGAGGAGGCTTCATGAGCCCAAGAATCGGAGAATCCCCCT